TGGCTCCATCAAACCGGGGGAAGAAATTCAGTAGCTCCTGATTCTTTACATTAAGAGGTCTTACTGTAGTAATAACAGACAGTCTTATCTGAATGCCTGATGTAATGTTTAGTTTTATGTCTGTCTTTACTCCAGTGCAGGACGAGAGACCTTACACTTTCTTTTCACCATATTAGGAGCTCATTTTGCACAGTTGTATAAACAGTTTGTGTGCAGATGTGTCGGGGAGGGAGCTTTATGACTGAGTTAGTATCATGTCAACGCCACATTTTTCCTGGAAAGCCTGGTTGTTAGAGCTACACTTCAGACTCTTTACTTCAGTGTCTGGGATGTCTTCTGTAGTGATATGTCTTTAGGAGAAGTCTGCTCTTGCAAGAGATGTATTGCTGTTCAGCCGAGACTATAGTTACAGTAAAACCACCAGAACTACAGCCAAAACCAGTTACACTAATGTTCTCTTTGCATGCTTTGACATTATCTTTCTTTCTTTCTTTCTTTCTTTCTTTATTTCTTTCTTTCTTTCTTTCTTTCTTTCTTTCTTTCTTTCTTTCTTTCTTTCTTTCTTTCTTTCTTTCTTTCTTTCTTTCTTTCTTTCTTTCTTTCTTTCTTTCTTTCTTTCTTTCTTTCTTTAAACAGGCAGACATAACCTCATACTTTGCATTTTAGTGTGATAGAGTGATGTATTAGTTTGGCTGATAAATATTTGCCTATTTCAAAATTACAGACATCTGTTGATAATGCTGTTTCATCTACTGACAGTCATTCTTTTACAAGTGTCTAAAACAGTCCCACTCATAATCCATCTTCTTTGGACTGCAAAACAACATTTAACTGCTTCTGTTACATTCTAAATCATTTAAACTAATGTCATTATAATTAAAGTTCAATGCAATAATTACTGTTAATACTGCTGTGTATACAAGTGGTGAGAAAGACCTGGAGCTGAAATTCAGATATGATAATTAGTGTTTGGTTTCCAACATACACTGTAAACAATAAACCAATTACAACAGACTGGGCCATCTGACAAATCAGAGCAGAGTAGACCAATCACAACAGACTGGGTGATTTGAACAATCAGAGCAAAGTAGACCAATCACAACGGACTGGATCATTTGACCAATCAGAGCGGAGTAGACCAAACACAACAGACTAGATCATCTGACCAATCAGAGCAGAGTAAACCAATCACAACAGACTAGATCATCTGACCAATCAGAGCAGAGTAGACCAATCACAACAGACTGGCTCATCTGACTAATCAGAGCAGAGTAGACCAATCACAACAGACTAGATCATCTGACCAATCAGCGCAGAGTAAACAAAACACAACAGACTGAGTCATCTGACCAATCAGAGAAACCAAATCATTATCAATCTGTTTTAGATACTGTGAGAAAAGAGCTGATTCTGCAATGTATATTATGAGAAAATTAGAACATTTGTTGTTTTTTATTAGTTATTTTGGTAACACTTTACAATAAGGTTCATTTATTAAATATTAGTTAATGTATTAACTAACATAAACTAACCATGAGCAATACATTTGTTACTGTTTTTGTTAATCTTTGTTAACGTTAGTTAATACAAATCCAGCTGTTCATTGTTTATTAGTAAATGTTGAAATTAACATTAACAAAGATTAACAAATGCTGTAGAAGTATTGTTCATTCTTAGTTAATGTTAACTAATGTAATTAACTAATGAACCTTATTGTAAAGTGTTACCGTTATTTTTTATCTTGGCTGCTTGTACACCTTTTGTAGGGACCTCTGAAACAAAATAAGGAACATTTAAAATAGCATAATAGGGGCTCTTTAACATGCTTCTTAATGCAAGTTTATTCTTCTTTATCAACCGGGAAAACAAGTCTTGAGTACCCATTTATTTTGGAGAATCTCCTCTGCAGGGTACAGAAATAGCACCAGCCACTCCCTCAATCTCATACTTTCGCCACAGAGGCGGTTCTATTCCTTCTTTCCTGCCGCTGTCCTGACAGAGAGGTTTCTGTGCGAGTGCACCCTGCCCCGTCACCCACACCCACCAGACCAGGATATATCACCTTCCACCCACAACCAGTACAGCCACACACTCTTCGGAACATTCGTCCTGTCCATTTGACTAAATTACCCTTTCAATTTCAGTTTAAAGTTTTATGCTTTTTTTAAATGACCGTAAGTGAGAGAAAATGCAAATTGTGCTGCCAAAAATGTCAGTGACTAGGAGAACAAACCTACAGAAGGCTTCTTATGAAATCTTCCTGCTAATATTAGGAACTCAGATACTCTATTACAGTAGTTTAAGTCTAGACTGAAAACCACCGACATTGACGGTTTTGTTAAACTGGCCAGTCCATTATTCAAATTATTGGTTGAAGTCTGTTAGCAGTTAGTTCAATGTCTCAGGGATGGATCTGCAGTCCACTAGTTTTGCATAGTCAAACTTTCACTATCGCAAAATTTTTTTGGCCCAAAGGCTTCTTAGAACCACCAACTCAGTCTGACTGATATGTAAAGTACTGAACATCAATACAATGCTGTGTTCTGGGCTAAATGTGCGTGTACGTGCTTGTACATAATGGTATTTTGAGCAACTGAGAACTCGTGAAGAGCATATAAAGTGTGAAAAGGAGACACACAGCAGCAGGAATTCCTCCATCACACACACACAAATGAAGATCTACTTGAGGTGACGCAATTCTGACACCTGTACTGTGCTGTAATCGTGACTATGATGAGAAAAGAACGTGTGCTTGAGCATTCTGTCCTTTTTAGGGTTGCATCTTGAGACATCATGTCCCGTTTTTGGTTCGTTTAGATGTTTTGGTCCGTGTTGCGTTCATATTTCAGTCCAACCGCATTAGAGTTTGTTTGGAAACGGACAGAGAGTCCCCCCCGCCTCATATAATAAACTGTATAATAGTTCCCACCTTTCTAATTTGCCTGTGTCATAACTGATGCAAATGAATTTTAGATACTATATTACACCACTGTGTTTAATTGGGGGAAAATTCAACATCCCAAACAGACATTCTAAGGTGGCATCCTGTGCAGAAGGGGAACCACACCCCAGAGAGTTAATAAAATCGAAACAATGGACTGGACGTTAACTTTCCATGGATGACGTCACGGAAGGGCAAATCCACATGAACTCGATGATGTAGTTCATTACTGCCAAATAGAGCGTAAGAGCATCATCCACTTCAATCACAAACTAACTGATTACATAATCACCTCTGAGGACCAAAAGGTGGCACATGACTTATGTAATATGAGTTTTTCAAAATACAAACATCTTCCAAGCACTCCCACACTACTCACTTGAAATATCTGAATAACAATTTATTCCATCAAAACTAGAAAACCAGAAAACCATTTTAAACTCTTGAGATAATTTGGGCTAGATTTGCTCCTGCTAGTTTCATCAAACATCCAGAGGCCTTAGTTGACACAGTCAACTTCAGGGCCCGTATTCATAAAGATTCTAAGAATCCTCTCAGAAAACTCTTAATTTAGCTTAAAAACTTGTACGTAGGAGTCTTAGCTTAAGAGTGATTCGGGACTGATCTAAGAGCAACTCTGAGTAAGGAAAAGACTTTCATCTTAGTGAGGAGGCGGGGTTGACTCCGTTGCTATGTATGACACAATATTTTGAAGACTGTGATTGGTTGATTGTTCAAGAAGGAAAAAAAACGTTTTTTTCCCCTCAATTTTAAGTATGGGGTTTACTCACACACACATATTATTTTACCATGCTGATACTTGCCTAAGGTATTTAAATGGCTTAGAATGATAAAAAATTAAAAACTCTTTCCAATTACACTGATTGCTGTCTATTTAAGTGCTGGTTTGAATGTTGGTTTTAATATAGCAAACATGGAATAAAAAACAAGAAGACGAGAAAACACGACTGGACAGAAGAACCGTGTTTACTGTTAGCCCAGTTAGTGGATGAACACAAGGCCATCATTAAAGGAAAATTCAACAATTTTGACCTTAAGACCTCTTTTAAGGGTTAAGATGCTTTCTGAATTACTTTTTTCTTTAATATAAATTTTTTCTTTAATGTTAAGAGTAAACGCCCAAATTTCTTAGAATTTTGTCACTAGGAGCTACTCTTTACATTAAGATTCTTTATGAATACGGGCCCTGCCTTTTAACATATTATAAGAGAAATCAAAGGACCCTCCAGGCCTTCTTTAATAATAAAAAACATATGCTAATACAGTAAACCTCAATTAAGCCAACATAGTTTCCAAGAGCACCAATTTTCACAGCAGTTATATGTAGGAATATTCCAATGTTCTAACACTTATTGTTGGATTATTTACTGTTCCAGAGCCTAGGAACTCCCATGCCAAATGAATGGAAAAGAATGTGCATTTTATGAACAGTCATGGAAAGCTATTTTATTAGTATATGGTTATACGTACATCTGTTTCTTGTTTTTGCATATCTTCTTATTAGTTTGTAAACCAAATTCCAAATGTGTTCCAGTTTTGTTGGTGATTAGATTCAAGCATGTCATTATGATTAACCTATACACCACAGCCATGTAGTATCACGTGCAACAATCCAACCACAATTTAGGTGGTTTTCTAGCACGCCATGAAGTCATAACGTCTTGTTTTCGAAGCAACAGCAATGAGTTATTGTCAAAATAGTACTGCTACAGAGCAATCAACTCAAATGCACATTGGTTTGGCAATGCGTCCCATATGAGGAACCTTAAAATGGCATCTGCAGAGCTTCAAATGCATCCACCAGATGAGCTTAAAGAGAGCAGCTTTGAAGCTCTTATAATTAAAAGCAAAGCCGAGCAGAAATACACATCCCACTGAAGTCTGGAGGAGATGATTCCAGTGTTTGGGACAGTGGTTGCTTAATGGTTGCAGTAACAGGAAGTAAACATATAACCCAAAGAAACATCACTTATGTAATAAGATTTGATTAGTGAAAGGTGTTCGGTAAATACTGAATAATCAGAAAAGCATATTGTACCTGTGAATGGTATGTTCTAGTGCTTTGACGTGACGTTCATCTTGCTCAACCTGTTTCCTACGACCTTCCTCTTCCTCTTGAGGCACTGCTGGTGACCCCTGCAAAAGCCATCTCTCCCTCGTGGCTTTAGACTGTAAGGAAAAAACAGGTTCTGGTCAGGTCATTGATCTAGATCAGTTGGGATCGCGCTTGGCCAGCTATAGAGAAACTGGTAGCCAGGCAACAGGGTAGTGACCAATCCTGAATGGTGACATCACTGCATGGTTCAGCAAGGTTAGCCAGCCATGATGATAATTCTGGATTGAGAATGGTTTGTAATTGTGGTGTGCCGAACCAAACCAAACTCAAGTGGATACTGTATAACATAAACCGTTCAGTACCGTTCTTAGAACTGTGCGGCCCGATGGAGTAAAAGCGAAATGAGTGTAAAAAAGAAATGAGTCCTAACACCTGGAAACAAGCATTTTTGTACTTCCGTTTTCATCGTCCCAAAGTCAGAGGTTTTTTTTGGTTTTTGGTCTCTGTTGTTAACACAAGCTCAATATATATTTTCACATTTGAATTTGTTTGACATAATTCATCAGTAATACCCCACTACGGATGTTTTAAAAGCTTTTACGTGTCTCTAAGTTAGGGCTGGCCAACGATTAATCGCGATTAATCGTATCCAAAATAAAAGTTTGTGTTTACATAAAATATGTGTAGTGTGTATAATTATTTTGTTGATATAAATACACACACATGCATGTATATATTTAAGAAATATTTGCATATATATATTGTATATATAATTATACATAATTTACATTAAATATATATATATATATATATATATATATTAATATTTTATATATTATTAACACATTTTTCTTAAATATATACATGCATGTTCGTGAATTTTTATATACAAAATAATTATACACAGCACACACACATATATTTAAACACAAACTTTTATTTTGGATGCGATTAATCACGATTAATTGTTGCACAGCCCTACAATAGAAACAAATCAATCAAAAGCTAGACAACTGCATTATTCTAGAGCTTCTGTACTACTAAAACAATCTTTGTTGCATTAATTTCCATTAATTATCACTGTAAAGCTGCTTTGAAGCAATCTGTATTGTAAAAAGTGCTATGTAAATGAAGCTGACTTGAAATGTCTTGACAGCACTAAAACGTGCTTCAAATATGGCAACATACAAAACCCTAGAAGATTAACATAATCTAAGTGAGTCCAAGTGAGGTGCAAGTTCATCCATCAATTCATAATTAACCAGTATTTTTTATCTGCCATGCTGAAAAGAAACAGCTTTGACAAAAAGCTGATAAAAGCCTGACAAATGGGTTTGGATGGGTTTTGGGTTGAAGGCTTTGGAGTAGACAGTCAACATTTAGAGTATAAAACTGGTGGAAGGATCTCTATGGAAGACAGCAACTACTGTAGATGCTAAACCTTTAGGACATGGCCACTATCTCCACTAAAACCCCACTTGAAAAAAACACAATACTCATAAATTTGAGGTCAATTCATTTATAGAATGTCAATCCGTACCACACCGTAAACCATATTTAGCTCTACAAGCAGTATTGCTGCTGGGTGAATGTAGCCTAAATGTACCAGCTGAATCTAAAACAGGATTTTAGTTCATGCTTTAGTCAGCTCATTATTGTGTGGACTGTGGTTTACCAAAGAAAACCCTTTTTATGTGCATTGTTTGACATTTAAGTTTAGAATATAAATGTCATGTGTTGCCACATTCTTATGTAAACTTGAATACATTTAAAACCTGTCCAACACGAGCAGCTGTTAAGGAAGTAACCAGCTGTGGTTGAACTGACTCTTGCTATGTGAGCTATGAGGTCTCTCAGGACCTCTTACGCCTAGTCATCACCTCCACAAAGGTCAACCACAGGAACTCAGGACTGTTTCACAAGCTGTTGAAGGTATGCGCTCTTAGATTTCAAGTCTTCAAGCGCTTCTAAAATAGGGTTTAAATCATTGTGCTTAAACTCATTTTTATTTATTTAAGATTTTCATAACTTGACATGAGGTTTGCTTGAGGAAAGCTGTATTATGTTTTATTACATGGGTCTCTGGGACAATTGATGATTGGCCAATTGTGGCATTCTTCAGTAAAATATATAAAGAGAGCTAAACTGTATAATAAGCGTGTAATGTATATATAATAACTATATAATAATTTATTTGGTAAGTAGTTGTTTAATAAACGTGATAATGTATGGTCAGCCTGTCATTATAAACCTTTTCTGGAAGAAACAAAACTTGATCCTTACTGACCAACCAAGTTTTTGGCCGGTAGAATGTGTAATATATTGTTGCTGTAGGGTGGAAAATCTACATTTTTCTAACTTTTAAGTCTTTACGACTGTGATGGGATTTCGGGAAAGACAAAAAAGCAATTTTGTTTACAGTATACCCATACATCACTAGAGAGATAACTCTGAGTATGAACACCTTGGAGACTGAGATTTTAAAACTTCAAGACTTGGCTGAGACAACTGGTGCCCAGGGTTAAATTCTCTCTTAAATAAAAAGACACAGTTGGCTGAAGTGGTTCCAGAGTGTGGACCAGATCTATGCTCCATCCAGGCTCTTTTTCAACTTGGAGAAGAAGAATGGTCAGAGCAGAGCCATCCATCCAGTCTAGAGGATTATTAACAGACCCTGGAGACATTCGTATGAGAGCAGTTAGTTTCTTTATGTGAACTTGTATAAAAATGAACTTGGGGTGTAATACAGGAGTGACAATGACTTTTTCAAAGACTTATCCAAAGTGTCTGAGGAAGCAAGTGGTGAGATCTGTACAACTGTACAAGGCCCTCCAAGGAATGGAGTCTGGAGAGGCGCCGGGCATTGACAGCCAACCAGTAGACTTTTATAAGTTTTTCTGGTCAGAATTGAGAGAGGACCTGCTGGAGGTGTTGAACAAAAGCTTGGCTGAAGTCAGGCTGCGTCTGAGCTGCCCTAGAGCAGTGTTGACCCACCTTACAGATATCAAGTGCTGGCGGCCCGTATCACTATTTTGTACTGACTACAAACTGCTCTCGAAAACCCTGGCAAACAGGCTAGCAGGAGTGATAGATTGTGTCATCCATCTTGACTAGACTTACGGTATTCCGTAGGTATTTGACAATGTTTCATTGGTTCGTGCTGTTTTAGAGGTCTCCAAGATGTTGAATTTAGATTGTGGGTTAATCTCAATACAGTAGATCAGGCGAAAGCATTTGAGGATTGCAAGTTAAGGAGAGTTTTAGAGGCCTTTGGGTTTTGCCAAAATGTTATAAATCAGATTAAAGTTCTCTATAGTGGCGTTGAGAGTATTCTTAAGGTGAACGGTGGTTTATTTTCTCCATTTAAAGCTCATAGAGATGTTAGGCAGGGCTGCTCTTTGGCAACAGAACCACTTTTACAACAAATAAGGGTCAAACTTCATGGTAAATGCTTGCCAAACTGTAAAAAAAATCTTATATTGTCAGTTTATGCCGATGATGTTATAGTTATGATTAGCAGGCAGAGTGAGTAGGTTTTTGTTAAGTTTACTTACAACTATTAAAGGTTTATCTTTATCAAACTGGAGTAAAAGTGAAACATTATCATTAGCTAAAATGCACAGGTGGGAAACCAGATCCTCCTGAAGGTTTAGGTTGGGGGAACTTAGGTTTCAAATCCTTTAGGATAGGAGTGTTTCTTGGTGATGATTGGGATTGGGAAAAATTGGGAAGGAGTCATTGAAAACGTTAAAGGTCGCCTGGGAAAATGGAGATGTTTAATTCCCAAAGATGTTACACAGAGGGTGTATTTTAATTATATACTTAGTTGCTTCTTCATTACGGCACAGGTTTGCATGCATTGATCCTCCCTCACATCTGTTGTGATTTTAGAGGAAATCTGAGAATCAGAAAAACCCATCTTGTTGTGTAGACAGTAATATAATGGAAATAATTTGTAATGAGTATTAAAATGAGTATTGTAATGGTGGTTTGCAAACAGCCAATGAAACCACAGGCTGGCATTATGCAAATTTACAACAAATCTATATAGGTTAGAGCAGGAAGATTGGGATTTCTGATGACTAGTTTCAGGCAGTTCAAAATCAATTCTTTTTTTTTTTTGGGAGACAATAACTTTATTTATTATGCACTTTAGCATAGTAAGGGCATTAAAAAAAAAAAATAAAAAAAAAAAATAAATAAAAATGTTACAATGTCTTTAACAGGAAAGAACTACAATCCCATGAAAATATGTGAACTAATTAAGAAATATATAAGAAATATAAACCTATTAAATGAAAGACATTCAATTAGGATTTTATTTATGCAGTATATGAGGCCTGATTTGAATAAATATCTCTATAATTAAAGGGATTTTTACTTCAGGAACCCGACTACTGCACTATATTTAAAAAACAAAAACTATATATATATATATATATATATAGCTTATTATCTGCACAGCATACATTTTTTGTCTTTATGTTTAGAATTTCACAAAGTATTTTATGAGAAAATTCTATGAGAAAACGAATTTTTCGGATGGCTCTCACAAGATCTAGACATTCATCACAGTCATTTCAGCTGTACTTTCCGATGAGAACTTGCTTACACCCACTCCTAAACAAACATGTCTCTTCCTGGATGTGCTTCTCTTTCTCAGTCAAGTCTTCAATTTGAATTCAGCTCTTTGAAAAAAACAAACAATCTTCCTTTTCATGACAAAACACATTCACACTATAGCTGTGAAGATCACCCATAATTTGCCCATGCGATTAGCTAATTCTCAGGGTTTGTTAGCTGTTGTGTTCTTCATGTTCTTCATGAAACATATTCCCAATAAGCTATTACTGTTATCTTGTAGTCTCTCTGCAGTCTTTATAAAAAAATCTCACATTAGAGCATTATCAAATCTTTGTTTCTTTCCCCTAAGGTCCTTCTCTCCTGAGTCCTAGACAAAATCTCTTTCATGAGTGACTTTAAACTGAGGATGATTTGTTTTTTCTTTTTTGTATAAACTAACCACCATAAAATCCGGGTGATAACACTACAGAGTAATTCTCTGTAAATGAGGCAAACCTCTGGCTATCTGATAACACACTCAAGTGTAATAGAGTCAGACATGTTGGCCAGACTCAGACTCCAGTAAAGAGAAAAGATTATCATCAAGAAAAACGAAAGAAAGAAAGAAATTACTTTCAAACTCCATTTTAATTCCACATTCTATATAATGTATATAATTCTATATAATATGCATAAAAATAGGTGGATGGTGGTACTGAGTCTTTTGCATCGTCTTCAGCCGAATCGTAACTAGCTAACAGCTAACGCCACTATCTACATTAATGATGCACATATTCTGATTGGACCTAAAAGGACACGATATACCAGGTATCCGACGCATTTCATTTATTAATTTGTCGTACTGTGTGCAAGGTCAACTTTCAGAGATGATATAAAGAGTTGTTTTACCTTGAAATGTTGAAGTTGTAGAACAAGTTCATCGAGTTGTCTTCTTTTGTCCTCTATCTCGGCTTGTCTTTTTCGTTTTTCCTGAAAATATAATAGAAATATTGTGTTAAACTACTGAGAGTAATGACATTTTTGTGCATAGCTTCAATTCATTGAAGCTTAAGCTTAGTTTGTGATATTTGCAAACGCAAACATCCTCTTTTAGCCATTCAAAGCTAAATACTTCAGCAGTTGTTTCACTGTGAATGACAGCAGTAAGCAGTAAGTCATCTATTTCCAATAGTGAGTTACACAGGGAACAAAATAATTGTTTAGGTTTTTTAACATGGCAAGCACTTGAAAGTCTGAGTGAAAATATGACTTATCACATCATAACCTGAGCTCCACAAGTTTTTCACATTCCTCTCTGCAGGGTATCTACTTCTTATTCACTTAACATGAGCGTAGAGGAAAGCCGAGCCACATATGTAGGTTATTCAGGTTCTTGAGCGAGTTCAAATCTATTGGCTGGCTTTGACACCGTTTCACGAGCACATTCCAGCTCAGAGCACTGCTGCAGGAAGTATGCGCTCTCCACGGAGAGAAAACTGATATGTTGTCCAGATGTGAACAAATGTGCCTCTAAAAACGGACCCTTACATATCCGTCAGTGAGTGATGCCACTGGATTTTACACGAAAGCTTCTGGAAATGACTTACAAGGATTTTCATGTCCTTTTTTTTTTAAAGCTGAGTATGGTAACTGAAACATAATCCCTGATTTTGACATGATGAGAAGGAGAAAATAAGAGGAAAGACCAGATTACCTTCTACTCTAATTTAGAGGACAAAATAACCCATCAAATGGGTGATTTAATTTGTAGTGGTTGGTATTTATATATCTGTAACCGCATCTAAAACATGAACCTAACCACAAACGTAAATGAATAGATTTAATTTATAAATAGATACAAAACAGTGACAATAAACCTAAAAACATTTGGAAAATGCCAAGCTAATTTCTTGTTGATATTTTAAAATTCTATTTTTGGGCGCATGGCCAAAAATATTTAAGAAAAATAACAATTTAAATATATTAAAGTGCATAAAAATTATATATATATATATATATATATATATATATATATATATATATATATATATATATATATATATATTAGGGCTGTCAAACGATTAATTGCGATTAATCGCATCCAAAATAAAAGTTTGTCTTTACATAATATATGTGGGTGCGCTGTGTATAATTATTTTATATTTTTATATTTTATTTTATATATATAAATACACACATATGCTTGTATATTTAAGAAAAATATATTATTTATATATAAAATATTGATATTTACATATAATGTAAATTATATTTACATCTATATGTAGTATATACATGAAAATATTTATTAAATATATACAAGCATGTGTGTATATATATATATATATATATATATATATATATATATATATATATAATAATTATACACAGTGCATACACATTAACAATATTATACACATTATACAATTATATTATTTAAAGACAAACTTTTATTTTGGATGCGATTAATTGCGATTAATCGTTTGACAGCCCTATATATATATATATTAGCAAAATATGACATATTTGGGGCTTTTTTATATTTTAAATCACAATGTATATCACAAGTATATTTATGTACTGTTTGCATTTTGAAAATCGTGGTAATTGTGATTAATCGTTTGACAGCCCTATATATATATATATATATATATATAAGTAAAATATTACATATTTGAGGCTTTTTTATATTTTAAATCACAATGTATATCACAAGTCTATTTATGTACTGTTTGCATTTTGAATATCGTGGTTGTGTCCTTTATGAACGCAGATGATTCTGTAATTAGCATCACAACATAAACTCTGAATCTATGCAAGCAATTTCTCATGTGAGCGCAGGGCTGTAATTACACCAGCAGTGCGTTCGTCACCGGTTACATGTCCTATAGACTGGCACGACACTCCACGCCCCTCTCATCTGGAGAGAATACTGAAACCAGATCTATTTCACACCAAGAATGCTGACCCATACCAGAGCTCAGAGTAACATACAGAAATAGGCCAGCAGCAAGAAACGTTCCTCAGACACGTAATCTGTGGCCCAGTCACCCTGAAATATCACTCACGCGGAGGCTAATTTCCAGACAGACCGTAGCATCTGTATGCGAGTTGAGTATGAAAACAGGTAATAAAAATGCTCGTGACGTTGAGCCTGTTGGGCTTTAGTGAGACCCAAAACAATGAGGATTTGTTTCCCAGCTCAAATGGAAAACATCTGCATGGCATTACTGAAGCCACCCCCTCCATCCCGACGGATGGCATCGAGCCTCAAAGACCAAACACCCCAGGGCCTTTCTTGAGTTCATTAGCTTTTCTTTTGCTACAGACAAAATATAAGAGATTCCCGCAGAACCAAAGCTTAACAAAAACAACTGGAAATCACTATAGCTGAGGGTGAAAATCTTGGCCATGTTCTCAAACACAGGCCACATTCCCGCCCCGACATGTTGTGTGTAACAAACTAGAGTTGACTGTGCATAGATAAGCATTAGTTAAAAGTCACAAATATGATTGTGTAGATAATATAGTGAAGACTAGGTGGGAAAAGATGGTCTATGATTAAGGGGCTGTCTAAAAAACAAAACTTTTTGTGCGTTTTGGTCATTCATTTACATGACTAGAGGTGGCCTGAATGCGCAAACCATTGAAAAAATGGGATTCAAAGTGCAAGGTTTTGAAGTATTAATGCATTTTAAGGCAATACATTTTAAAGATAATTTATTTTAGGGTAATGATTTTTGCTAGATGCTTCCACTTGAAAATAAATTGTAAACAGTACGTTGCATGGTGGTCTTGCTCACTACCAGAGAAGTACACACTGGTGAAGTATGCCAGATGGGATGTAGCTATGAACTAGAAGCTGATAGCCACGACAAAATTTTCCCTGAGGTCAAGAAACGGTCCATTTCCTCCATTGTGTGTGACCAATGACCCGAGCTGCCACAGTGTGTGTCTCTGTTGACTCCTACAACTGACGCCTCCAATGCAAGCAATGCTGACATTTCTGATCGAAATGCTCTATAACAAGGACAAACTAATTGTGTAAGCTATATCACTTGTGTTCTTTGTGTCGCTTTTCTACCAAAAAATGTCTTTACTGATGATGGCTCTTTATCAAAGATCAAGCACTTGTCCCAGAGGACAGACGAAAATAGATTGGACATCATTTTCCCAGAAAGCACTTTGGGAAAGGAAGTCTTCAAGAAGTTCTTTGTGCTATTGGTTTCGGCAGTTATTATGAAACTCATTTGAAGTGAAGACACTTCATAACGAATAACACAATAATATTTGCAAGTTATATCACATTTTTTCCCTCAATATAGGATTATTACGATATTTTTTTATTCACTTTCAAACAGTACATGTATCTTTCAACGCATTTCATGACAATTCTAAATTATTTTACAATCTTGAGAATTGGTTGCTAATTCATATGTGTTATATAATCTCATCTCTTCATTTTTGTATGATCTGCTTCTATACTGTAAAAAAATATTTTCATGATTTGTAATCGCAACATTTTTTTCTTTTGTCAAATCAACTTAAATAATTTATGTAGTTCAGATAACATAATATTTTGAGTTTCTGATGATTAAATCAATCTCCTTCATTGTATTAACTCAAATTTTTCCATTTCAATGAACTTAAAATTTTAAGGCAACCAAGTTACTTCATTTTTTAAGTTAAACCAACAATATTTTTTTTTTACAGTGATTGACCTTCATGCTTATACTTTATTCCTGAAAATCTTCTGTTTATGAACAAATCACATTGTGCAAATTCATATGAAATTGTTACCACGTAAAATAGCGACTTTTTTCTTGAGGTTGGATGAGTCATATATGCCATACTAGACTTGGCAAATGAAAATCTGTTAAAAGCTGTAGGAACTGCTTTATTGAATCTCTCTTTCTTCTGGAAGCATTTCCAAAAAACCTTCATTCTCTATGTTGTTATTTCCAGGGAAGCACACGAGCCAAGTTTTTGTACTTTTTATCAGCATCCAAATCAGTCAAAGGCACTTTATACAAAAATGTGCATGTCATAGCGAAAATGCAACATCTTAAAATTATGATCTTAAAGAGTAAAGTTACGATTCATCCTGTGACTCAAATTCATCATTAACTTTTAAGGCATTAGATAGATCATACAGTCTTAAAATGTATACTACTGCTAATAACATTCTTTAACTGACCTTATTAACATGCTTTGCATCTCTGGCATGTCAATTAAACCACAAGTCACTGCGTTTAATCAGCATGTATTCCAAAACTAAATAATTTCAGCCAAACGCATGTAATGGATGCTTAAGGCAGTGGTGATTTGTTTAAAAAATCCCTGACAACACACTGGATTCCTCACATTAAGGATAACATTTACGGTAAACATTAACAGAAAATGAAACATACAATAATGAAGTTCAAGGTGTTACAAAAAATGTATCTAACCAATACTAAAATGAGAAAAGGGACCATCAAAATAAAGTGTTACTGTTAATCTTAAAAATAAATAAATAAATAAAAGCCATTGTAAAGATATACCTGTAAGAAGTTCCTCACTTCTGTCTAGTCTTAGTATTGGAGTTGACTCTACTATAGGAATCAATACTTTTGTTTTTATGACTTTGTATATCTCTTTAAACAGGACGTTATGATTGGCTCAGATCAGTGAGCATTGGTGGCACTCAAACTTATGTCTGCCTCTTGTATCATAGGGAAATTTACATGTGTAACAGAAAATGACAATTTCAAATTCAACTGTGTGGAAGAACTTCCAGCTTGTGGACAAAATAGGACAATTTAGTTGTGAATTACGTAAAAATGCAACAAGTGTCCACAAGTGTGTGACTTTCTCACTCACGCCCCCATGCTGCAGATGATTTGCCTGTGGCTTCAGTTCAGGGGCACAACTTTCACAGCTCTCTCTCTTTCTCTTGTTCTCTCTCTCTCGCTTTCTCCCACCCTCTCTTCATTGCTAGATTCTGTTTG